TTAAATATTTATTTATTGGTTTTGGTATCTGATTGTCTAGGTCAATGTCTGTGGATGTGTGTACATGTATTTATCGGTGTCTATGTGTATGGAAAGTGCATTCACTTTTAATTGTGTATGTATGTAGGTGTTGGTTTTCCCCCTCTTTTTTTTTCATAAAGGGCCGTGGAGATGTTCCCTGTCTCGTCACTTTTTTGTGTGTATATATATATATATATATATATATATAAATATGTCTGGGTGCTTATGTATTATAATCTGATTGTGTTTGTGTTGTTTTACGCGTGAGCTTAGGACCCCATTCAGACACTTGGGATTAAAATGAATACATATATATTGTCGGATGACCAGATGAAGTAGCGTCTGTTCTAACGTAATTTCAACGAAGAAATAAATTGCATAACATGTGTATTTCTTCTTTTCTTCTCAGTAATTTTATAATTTTTAAAATTAATAGTGTTTAAATTTGGATTTTAAAATTGGCAGTTTTTAATTTTAATATCAAATTTTATCATAGAATTTAGTAATTGTTGGTTAGAATAAATTCTTTTTTAATATTACCCGTATTTTAAAGATTTGAATAGCTATTATAACATGACTCCGTTGTCAAGCTTTTTTAATTTTCCTATACTTGTATTTTGATTGGTTTATCTAGCTTTCGTAACAGCGTTTTCCCCTTGCGAATGATCGTTAATTAATTTGAAACTTTTCAAACCATTTATTTTGAATTCAACATCATCACTTGATAAGACACCGGAGGTGTTGAAACAAAATGGCTATTTTTGTAGTGATTTTATAACATAATTATTTTAAAATAATTATATCTGCTCTACTTTGTATTGAGCACTCTTTTAAGAATAGTAATTGTTGGTTATTGGAATTCATTCCGTATATACCAATTATATATGATAATTGTTCGGATGGTACCTAGACTTTTTGCATTTAGGCGTAGACTGGTGTCAAGATCTTATTAATTTTCAGTAAAGCTGGCTAGATGTAACCATATGTTCTATGCTAACAGTTTCTTTTCTCTCACTAAAATTTAAATAAAATGTCAGTCGCTATCTCCTGTCTTCCTGTTTATTCCTTTTTCCTCGCTTCTTAGCAATGTTTCTGTTTCTAACTCTTCCACTACCAGTAACACCTTGCGATTAATATATATATATATATATATAAAGGTAAAAGACAATAAGGAAACTCTATTATTAGTCGACGAGTTTTGGTCTTTTTTCTCCTTTTACCTTTATACATATTGTCTTTTTCTACAGTTTAACTCTGGGAAAATTTTCCCATATATATATATATATATATATATATATATCAATTCACCTGCGGGCTGTCATTAATACCATAATCCAGATCTAGGTACCTAATCTTTCCAAAGTCAAAATCGTCTTTACAAGTAAGGCTATTATAACCATGGACATCATTAAGAAGGTTGCTAAAAGTCAATTGATGTCTTTCTATAGAGGCGATAGAATAAGTTTGAGTTCTAAACGGGGTACTCAGTTATCATTGCACAAGGCAAGATATTATTTTTAGGTTGATATAGTGTGGGTGGATATCTTCCGGACAGATATCTTCTCGTAAAGATTATTATACAGATTATACAGGTTTGCATTAAGAATTGCCAGATTCTTTGAAAATATGTTGAACATTAGGATAGAAACTTTACGAGTATGTCTTCTGTTCTGAACCTCAGAAAGAGAAGAAGGAAGATGCCAAAATGATTTACTAAGCTTTAGTCAAGCCTGTTGAATCTCTCAGCCTTATCTCATGGCGGAAAAGGTGGGATGTTCTAGATTTTTCGTGATATTTGACCGACTTCGATGATGCGAATATCTTCAGAACTGAAAAATAAACCTAGAACATGATCCTAACACCGCCATGTTTCACGGTTTGGTATGGTGTTCCTTCGATTATAAGCATTATTCCGTTTTTGTCCCATACGGTATGGACATAGTTATTACTAATTCGGTCGACTTTGATCTTATCTGGACACAAAATGTTCTAAGAATAGCCATATTATTTATTGACATGCTCACTGGTGACATTTCCTTTTCTTCATTTACACCCTTCTGCAAATTAATTGAAACAGCCGCTTTAGTTTCCTTTCTTTCATCATACGGTCCGTTTTAGACCCACTGGAGTGACAGGGTGCAATCGATTTCTATTTTTTCCTCAGATTAGGTCATTTGCAGTGGTGTGTAGTAAAATGAAGGGTGTTTCATTTAGACGGATCAAAGTTTGCAGTAAATAAATCAATGTTATTGGTGAACATGTTATTTATTTCTCTATTGGATCATGTTAAGTCATGGCGATTATGTTTAAAAAATAATATCGCCCAAATGTCAACGAAGGCTTCAGCGGCACACCTCCACTCGATAGTCAAAATTTTTAATGACATCTCTGCATAGTTGCTCCTCGATCTCACCAATATGCCTTATTATCTCATCCTTCAGCTGTTGAATTGTTGTTGGCATAGAACTTACTTTTGAGATAACCCCAAAGGAAGAAAAGTCATACGATCGTGGTGGCCAACTGACTTCACTGTTTCGAGAGATGATGATACCTGTGAACTTCTCATTGCATTTCTGCTTGAACATCCATTTTCGTAATAGGCTTCGATAACTTTAACACGTTTGATTGTTAATCTTTCCATGGTTGAAATTGCCAAAGACTTAAGTTGTTAAATCTGAAATAAAAAATAAAAAATCATTAGACGCTTAAACTTTATTCACAATTGAAATCGGTCCAAGTTATTGGAACAGCCTTTATTTTAGGAGAGTATGATAAAATTTGTTTGGTCTTGAAGAATATTGCGTCGTCCGGGATTGCATCAGATTTTTATCACGCCCAGACACTATTGTTTCAACTGTTGATTAGTTGTCCTACGGCTATTGTCTGAGATGGACGTTATACCAAGAAGCGTATGAAAATTGCAACGCTTCACAAACACAATGGAAAGCCTTACCAGTGAATAATCAAAGTACGATTAGTTTGAAAACTCTCCTGATTTAAATTCAATCGTGAATCTGTGATCAATCTGCAAGGAAAGACTTCGTGGAATGAACATAGGAAGTACTATTATGTGTACTGCATCATGTGTCATTGAAAAAATACGAAAAAGAGTAATTATTAGTTTTGTTTCAATTAATTTGCACAAAGGTGTATGTCAGTTCTTCTCATACAGTGCTGGGAGAGTTATTGCCAAATAGGTCGACTTCGGTCGTATCTGAACACAAAACATTGTTGAAATGGATAAATTATTTATTAATTTGTCGGACTTAATGTGTACCGTATCTCTATTAATGGATCTCGATGAGGTCGGTGTTTTCATATCTTCAGTTAACTGAAAAGTGTTACATATATTCTGACTTGTTACGACCAAGTCCAGGTCACCAAACAAATCTTTCCAAGTAATATTTGATTCCTGTTTTACCATTCCAACAAGTTTCGAATAAGTACGTTTCGAAATCTTTCTTGGAACACCGGATCTTAGATGATTATCAGTAGTCCGTTCTTTTTTCTCTTTTTGATCTATCTACTGGACCGAGAATACTGGAGTGTTGAACTACAAATACCGTTTTCTGTAGCCCTCCAACGTGTTCTTCAACAATCCTATTCTTGATTTCCGTTGTCTGTTTGTCTTTTGTCTTTGGCATGGACAAGTGACAAGAAGGCATGTGTGGAATAACAACGTATAACGCCACAGCACAATCTAGAAAAAAAAGACGTAAAAACAAAAATTATTATAATGTCCATGCTTAGAATATTACTACTACATATGATCCGGTGCCCCTACTATTTAACTTGGACTCCTTGATAAAATACAAAGAAGAATCAGCAATATAATTGGTCCTGATCTGGCATCTTGGTTCCGGTCACTTTCCAACCGCCGTAAGAGGTTGCTTCCCTTTCTAGAAACACTTCGATGGCAATTGTTCGAATCAGCTCTTCGCTTTGATACCTAAATTTTTTTTTAAATTTAAGTGCTGTACGAGACTAGCGTTGAGATTAGTTTACAGTTGAGCTGGCTAGATGTATTCTATGATAACAGTTTCTTTTCTAGCTCTTCTTGCTTGTGGAACTCACTTCCGACTCCTTGTTTTCTAGACAACCTTAATGTGCAAAAAATTAAATGCAATGTCAATCACTATCTACAGTACTTCTGATTACTCTTTCCGCTTCCCTCTCATTATTAATGTTTCTGTTTTAAATTCTGCAATACTCTGTAACCCCTTTCGTCTGGCTTTACTGCCTTGCATGGGGTGATAACGATTAAAAAAATATTCCCTCAATGACGAAGATGAGACTTGAAGCGATGCGTTTCTACAGAAGGATGCTAAAATACTGGATATAAAATGTGAACAACAATAAAGTTGTAAGGAAAATGAGAACGTTTACTTACTGAAAGTGGCAGTTGTAATTTTTGGTATACATAATGAGAAAAGTAGGTTTAGAAAATTTAACACACATAGTATATATTGAAAGCAAAAGGTGAAGGGGAAAACAACGAATAGCCAGCCTAGTGAATTTGTATGAATGAAATATTGAGACTGGGAAACAAAAAACATTGCGTAAAGTTACAAAGGATAGAAACTTGTGCAGAGACAGGATCAGCCACAGCCTGAACGAACATGACGCATAAAAAATAGTTATTATAATTGTTAAAGTTGCGGATACATTTTTAATGTCATTAATCTTATTTTTAAATAATGTTTCGTCTATACTTTTAATTGATCAGTGGGGATAATCTAATTCATAGCATTTGGAACGTAGTGTGACAAATTTATTATGGCTGCGATAAATTTATAAGCATTTATTTGATGAAATAACATTAGTTTACGTTATTGATATTTACTTGACAATATATATATGTGTATGTCTATGTCACTTTTTTGTATATGTGTGTGTGTGTGTGTGTGCGTGTGTGTGCGTGCGTTTCAATTTGGACTAATATTTGAAACTTTCAAATATTCTTCACCTTCATATTGCAGCTGTTGTCTTTCAAGTGTGCATTCAAAATCGTTACAAATTAAACAAGAAATATCGCAAATGGCTTGCAGCGGCAAATGCAGCATCGAGTCAAGAAGTGGGAAATGAAAAAGGACTACTTTACCAAGCAAAGGTACGTTACAGTGCTTCCTTTCTATATCTCTTTAGTCAGTTCATTCTTTGGTGCTTCTTTCTTTCTTTCTTTCTATCTTTCTTTCTTTCTTTCTTTCTTTCTTTCTTTCTTTCTTTCTTTCTTTCTTTCTTGTTTCTTTCTTTCTTGTTTCTTTCTTTCTTTCTTTCTTTTCTTTCTTTTTCTTTTTTTTTTTTCTTTCTTTCTTTCTTTCTTTCTTTCTTTTTTTCTTCTTTTTTGCAGATCCTAGCTTTATTTACTTAGTTATTTCTTTATTCCTTACCTTTTTTTTCTTTCATGCAGATCTTAACATTTCTTAATCCCATTTTTTTCTTTTTCTCACTTTCTTTTGCCTTTCTTTTTTCTTTCTTTCTTTCTTTCTTTCTTTCTTTCTTTCTTTCTTTCTTTCTTTGTAGAATTTAGCACTTCTTTAGTCTTTCTTTTTCTTTCCTAATTATTTAAAGTATCACCAACAAAATTTACTCTATATTTTCTTCGTCTCTTATCACAGCTGCATTCTGTACATTTTTACTTACTTATATATATATATATATATATATATATATATATATATATATATATATATATATATGTATATATATATATATATATATATATATATGCATGTATGTATGTATGTATTATACAACAAAACAATGCTTTTAATTATTGGCCACTAACAATCCCTTTCTTCTTGATTGTCGATGCATTTTATAGTAAAATCTTTAGCAATGTATTTACATTGTACATTTAATAGTTTTTTTTTTCATATCAGTAAGCATTGCATTGATTTCGGATCACTGACAAACACTTTTTTCCTGATTATCAATGCATTTTCATATTAAAATCATTGGCAATAGATTTACATGATACATATATTCGCCTTATTCTATCAGCGAAGCTCGAAATAATTTCTAACCAGTAAAAACCCATTTTTCCTGATTTTTATTATTTTTCATAAGAAAATCATTAGCAATGCATTTACATTATAAATGCAATAGCTTATTTTGTTAGTAAGTCTCGAATTAATTCCTAAATATTAACGATGCCTTTCTTCTTAGTTTCTGATACATCTTCATATTAAAATCATCAACAATGAATCTACAATATACATATAACAAAATTAATATCTTAGTAATGCCTTTATTACTTACCGACCCCAGACAATGCTTTTCTTATTGATTTCCATGCCTTTCTAAATCTTTCAAGATCATGAACAATAGATTTAATTCTTACACATAATTATTCTGCCAATAACATTTGTCTTAATCACGAACCTCTTTATTCCTTCATAAACAGTGCGAAATTTTACTTAAATAAAATTTGGGCAAGGAGCCTAGTGTAGACTGAAGAGAGAGAGGGGGGAAGAAGAGTAACGGTAAAATCAATGAGAAGAAAAGCCGGAAAGATGATTACGTATATTTGGTTCCAATGCCATCCACGATAAAGTAAACTTTCTTTGTTGTTTCATACAGGGAGCGATGGGTAAATTATCGCCATTTTATATGAAAAGAATACTGATATCTCATTTTAACAGATATAATTACCAAAGTTACACAAAAAAATATCTTGAAATACTAAAGAGTAAATTTATTCAATAAAATCGCCATTGGCCTCAACGACACCCTCCAGACTACTTCGGAATCTCCTGCAACTCTTCTGGACGGTCTCCTTGTTTAAGTTGTTGAATGCTGCCATAATTCTTGCCTTCAGTTCATCTTACATCCTTCATGATACAAGGAGTTTTCTTGGTCTCTCGATTAACTGGATGGTTTCAGTCTGGGGAGATGTAAGGAGTGATGTGGTCGCAGAAATTATCTGACAGCCATGACTGGGTTCTCCTCCTTCTGTGGCATTGTGCAGAGGAATGTTGACAGTCATAGAGTCTTCCAGCAACCGCCTCTTGACTCAGAGCTGCACTACGATATCACAGCTCTGATGTAGGCCGCCGTGTTGAATCTGAGACATTGTAGGAATATGATTGGAGGCATCAAGGTCGGAAAGTGATTGATATCGAAATGTCAGGTCAAGACCAATAACATTACAGACCCTCGAGATATATAGCAAGAGCACCAGACCAGATATGTTAGAAATATTGAATGCACGGACAAATGGTAGTTTTAAAAATAGGCAAGATAGATTCTAGTGAGAAAAATTGTCTCGTACGACACAGTGAACCAACTTACTTAGACAGACCTAGTAATGGAAAAATATTTTAAAGTCGAAATTTTCGGACTCGCCTTGGGAAGAACACGGTGTGTGTGTGTCCGAAAATTCAGACTTTAAAACATCTCTCTTTGTGCTTTAGTTTAATCACGCGGCCTAATATAAAATAAATATCATTAATTTTTTTTTGTTGTCTTTTTATTTCTTGAATTTCATCAACCGGTCTATCAATTCTATATATTATCAGAAGTACACATGGACCAGCTTTACCACTTTAATCAAATCACATGTGTGGGGTTTCTGACGGTTTACCTTGATTCGTGGTCTTAAATGCCACTTAAGATTATCGCACAAACTTTCATAACTGAATCAATAAGCTGTCAGATCCTCATACGTCGAAACCGACGGGAGAGTCCATTATATATATGCATGTGTGTGCGCGCGTGCGTGCGTGCGTGCGTGTGTGTGTGTGTGTGTGTGTGTGTGTGTGTGTGTGTGTGTGTGTGTGTGTGTGTGTGTGTATTTAGGAAGCATATCTTCATTTAAGCATGTTTGGTTGAATAATCTAGACTCATTATGTCTTATTACTATTATTTTGATCAAGTTCTTAAAGTGCTATACAAAACTGATTAAAGAAGATATTTTGTTTATTTCTTTCATGTTCCCAAATACTTTCAATCTCATCCCAGATCAACTTCAAGGGTGAATTGCTAAGACAAAAAACCTTTGTAATTGACGTTTTTGAATTGTTTTGTAAATATATGAAACCTGCTCCGTTATAGTCTATTTAAAAATTAACGTTAAGAATATCGAAAGGAGTTAATTTATATTTTTATTTTTAAAACTTTAAAATACTGAACCTGCAATTAAAAAAAATGTTTGCATTTTGAGCATCCCAAAATATTGCATTTATAGACTTTTTAAAACATTGTTGCTATACTCATAATTAATTTTATTTAGATTTAGATTCCTTTTTTTTAAATAGAACGTTTCTATAACTTAAAGTTTTAGTTTTTACTAGCAGCATGGCTCGGCGTTGCCCGTACTTGATTAAAAAATGTTTCGATAAAAATTACGGCGTATTTATTTATTTATTTTTACTAAAATTTACCTATTCGAATGCTCCCCAAGGTTATAGCTGAAATGGTAATGAATGAAAGAGAAGGTAGATGATGAGAAGGATGAAAAGAATATATAATTCTTGTGTGGCGGGACATCTGGCCGAGAGACATTTGGCCGAACGGACATCTGGCCGAGAGACATCTGGCCGAACGGACATTTCACCGAAAAAGTACAAGTAAAAATAGTAACAAGCAATACTTTAAGTATTTTATTAGCAGTATTATAAGGTAGAACTAGAAGCATGGCCCGGCATGGCTCGTGCTTGATTCAAAAATCGTACGACTCATACGGCAATCACTATCACTTGACTTAAAATATTTTTGCCCTTCCTTGCCTTCAAAGGAGTGCCTTTTGCCGTGCTGATGTTGCTATATGCCTTACTTCTTGCCTATCTCACACTTCGAATTTTTTTCTAAGCTCTATACTAAACATTAAATCTGTTACGAAAAAAGAACTAAACAAAATGAACACAAAACGATCAGCTTTAAAAAAGGACTCGTAACTGGAAAAACCGATTGAAAAAAGAATGTTAACAACAAATACTTTTTCACACCCAACCCAGTTCTGTGGAATCAGAATCAACGTTGAGTTTAAGCAAGCGAATGAGCCAATTGGAGTAAAGTGCCATGCAGATTTAAATTTTTCCCACTTGTGACGAATGCAGCTATCGATTTTTTCTCATGCTAGCATGCTAGTTAACATTCGAGTCAGTCAGCTGTTGGCTCTCACGCTTGCCAATAGAATTTTCCTGCCTATTCGTGGCAGCCAGCTATAGGCTCTTACTCTTGCCAGTACAAAATGGCCGCAAACTACATGAAAACCGCCGTAGAAGCATGAAAAAATCGATTATTTCTACTATCGATGGGAGTTGGGAAATGCAAAGTCGGTCTTGGCCTTCCCACTAACTTGGAGCATGTTCGTGTAAATTTTGGTGCAAATCCGTCGCAAATTGCGGTCGTGCATTCGTTACACACACACACACACACACACACACACACACACTCCTGCCTTTTATAGATAGAGATTTTCATGGCGGAGTCTACTTGTATTGTTAATTAATATTTCTCTAAGTGTTTTTTAAGTGTTGTGCGATAGAACTTGAATCCGACATGTGTAAAGTAACCCTTCTAGATAATGTCGTCGTCGTGAAAAACATTATTTATAGTTTTGTCAGAGATACAATCTCCCAAAGCACATTTAAATTGATATATGATGTTGCTCTTTTGAAATAAAATTGTTGACGGAGAAGTGGTATTGCGTGAATTTGATAAAATTAAAATAAAAAATAGACATAATGTATCTAGATTATTCAACCAAGTCTATATATATATATATATATATATATATATATATATATATATATATATATAATTTCAATTATAGGTGCAATTATAATTTATAAATTCATGAATCATTCATACAAAAAACAAATATAGAGGTTAATGGTTTAAATGGCGAGAATACATCATCGCAAACAATATAAATAAGATACCAACCCCGAACCTGTATAAAGATTGTTTATAAATTCCCCGTTTTTTCGTCTGTTAAGAGGACATCCTAATGTAGAAAACTTTCGGATTACATCTATATTTTTTTGTTCTCTTATTACCGAGAACAAAAAAAAAGAACAAATCTATTTCCATATATTTTGATGATGTCTGTAGAACAGACGAAAGCTTGTAAAAAATTAAAAGACCTTATGTAACTGGAATTTATAAAAGGATCATATCATTCATATACAGGTTCGGGGTTGGTGAATCTTTATTTATATTGTTTACGAAGATGTATTTCGCCATTTAAATCATTAACCTGTATATTTGTTTTTGTATGAATGAATGAATTTATATATATATATATATATATATATATATATATATATATATATATATATATATGTATCGTGCAATAGGGCAGCAGATAATTATTCAAACATATATTGTTAAATATAACAGACAACGAATGACTATTATGTTTGATCATGAACCGTTCTAATCTTCGTATAGTGGCTTTAGTTTCGGGGGAAAATAAAGAGAAAAACTGTTCAACATTTGGATATATATTGATTATGCTGTTCCTCGATTTAAGTTTTCGGCTCACATAAGCCATCATCAGAGTGATTTTATAGACATTACAAG